GGGATGGATTGAATGTATATACCTCCAATGAGTAAACTGTAATGAAGGAGAGCAGAATTATCCAGGGGCATTAGCAACCGCCCCAACTAAGAACAAGTGAGTGGCCTCCGTCGGAGGACATCTAGCAAGTAAAGGCGGTCCGACTGAGGAGGAGTTAGAACTAGCACTTTGAGCGGCTATAGCAGCCTCCACGCTCACAATAGAGTCGCGAAAGGTGAACAGTCTTCTAGCTTGGAGGCTAGACTACTTGCACAGCAAAGGCGACCACGAGCCACTTTGATCGCGGGGGCTGTCTTTAATATTGCGGCGCCATCTCGTGCGTTACCTCCACGTTCTGTCTTAGGCCCCACTTAACAGCGCAGACACTTGTACCTTTTTCCCAAAAGGTGAGACAGTCATAAACATATATGCTTACCCTCCTGTGGAAGATGTGACGTGTAGCTCCAACAGCAATGACTCCAAGTAGGAGACCGAACAAGGAGGTCCAGAACTAGAAATAAAGCACTGTACGAAATTGTTACTGAAAAATAGGCACATGACCCTGAATACTGGTGTACAAGTATGCCACAGGAGTCATAAAAGATCAAGTCGTGATAGGTATGCGCAACTGCACTAGTTACCATACGTCGTGTAGACAGCAAATCACGGACAATATTAGGCAGCGTTCAGACGCGCGTCGATGCGCTGTAACGCGCTACAGCTGTAACGGCGCTTTAGAGCCATAGACTTCAACGCAACAGCGGACGCCCTCTCCGCACTGTATGGGAGAACTTTGCTCAACCATGCAGTGTGGTACCGATCGGCACTGGCCACTAGGGCGTCGGGCGGCGCCGCCGATTGAGTCCATCTGCGGCTGCGTTCTATAGGACTGGAGCCCTGTAGCATTGTAGCGCGTCGACACGCGTCATCGCCAAGTCTGAGCGCTGCCTTATAGGCGACATTGTTATGATCTTCCACAAGCACATCGAAATTTCTGGCGCATAGGCTCGCCTATGAGAGGACAGACGTACCAAGAGATGTTTCCACGTGAAAGGTCGATGCAAGGAACTCCTCGTCCGCGCTGTTCTGTTGCCAAGCCACGTAGCAACGACGGCAGCAAATAGTAAAGATCGCAAGAAGTTATCTTCGATGAAACGCAACTGAAATTCCATTTTATCTGCTCGGAACACTGGCTGTTAAGATAGACGTCTGATGTCCCCCAAAACTAAAAGCAGAAAACACTTACATGAATGAAAGTGGTTGAAAAGCTTCCCAGCCACATATACACAAGATCTCTGCATTCTCTGCCGCAATTCCCGATTATGTAGACACCTAGAGAAATGTGAATATTCAATCATGCACTTGACTATTTGCAGTGCACGTTACAGCAAATGCATAGGCGAAGCTACAATTTCTCCGCCCTGTTCTGATTCAAAGACAAGCTGCACACTCCGTGGATCCCAATTCTTACCGTGAGGAGAGTGGTTCCGTGGCAGCAGTAGCATGCCACTTTTTCTGCTCAAAACAGGGCGGGATTGAGAGTGGTACCCCGGCGACTCCATACACCGCCTTACGTGCCGCATGGTCGCTACAGCCTAATCGAAGTCGAAGCCATATGAGCTACAAGCTTTTCACTTCTGATTGTTTTCTATCTGTTTCGCTAGGATACCTTGGTATCTACGCAAACGCTGCACCTTACAGATAGCGCAGGCGGTGTGGAGAGCAATACTTGGTTACCACTACCAGTGCAGGCGGAGTGGAGACCACACTTGGGCACTGGTTACTACCCTACAGCCCCCCCCCCCTCTCCGCTCGCACCCATTTGAGCGGAGAAAGTGGTACGCTAGTGTAGTTGCGAATCCATTCTCCTCGTACATATTATGGACGGTCCTAGGCTTGCGTGTCTTTGATGGTATTTAAAAGCGAAATGAAAAAAAAAACTAAGACCTTACAACAAAAACAAACCAGCCGTCACTGCCGCTGCTAAAGCTGACACCATGAGATGGCTGTCACGCGTTGATTTACCGAACGTCACACTGCCGGCCGTCCAACAAAGGAAACCTCAAGTCATCACATTATCGTGCCCCAATGATTTCCGTTGGGAAGGGACAGGTTCAACATTTTGACTGAAGTCAACCAACTTACCAAGCCACATGGCATAAGCAACAGATGCAGCAAATCTCTGAAGTGAAAAAGGCACTACGCGAGACAGGTTCGTCATCAGCTTTCCATTCCTGTGCAAGTAAAACTATTACCTAATTTCCTGCTCTGAATGGCTCGAATCTAATGTCACATTGAAGTCGTACTTGTATTTCTTCATCTCTTCTCCCTCGCCTAATTTCAGCATATTGTAGAACTGAACTTGTTTGCCTAAGGTGAAGCTATCGTACAAAACTCCTGAAAATGACTCTCGTACAAAACTCTTGAAAATAACACTACCCAGACGAGAAGCATGTCGACCCAAAAATCAAAAGGATACACGTTCGGAAAAACGAACCCAATAGAAATACTCCGCCGGTCGAGATGTAGATGAATGCTTCAGGTATTTGTTCAAGATAGAGACGATGAAGACCTAGGACGCCGCCAACCATGAGCAAAAGTCTGAAGATTTCAGATAATTTTGCTCAATTTTGTATGTTGGCTTCTAGAATTCGGAGGAATTCTGATACTCACAAGGGAACCCCAACAGGTCGATCCGGCCATTTGCAATGAGATGTATAAATATGGACGTGTCTTGAGCCGCTGAATCCAAATCTGCCCTCCGATTTTGCGGAACGATTCTCCAAAGGGAGTTACGGACCATTTAATCTTAGCTCCGTTTGCTCAAGTTGAGAAGGATAACTGCATGCGGCAAGCCGCCGATGGCCTAGTGGATAAGTGCATTGCTTCAGAGACACGAGGTCGAATGTTGGAATCCTTGGCTATCGAAATCTTTTGCTTTTCATTCAAAACACTTGGTATGAGCCCTCCGAAATTTCTATTTGGCCATTTCGCCTAATTTCTTGATTA